GCGCGGGGGCAGCGCTGGCTGGACCCTCCCCAAACCTGCCATAGTTGAGGCCACCAAAAACCAGGAGAACTTGGAGCTGGGCACCAAATCACAAAGCAATTATTTTACAGTATAAGATAAAATTTTATCTAATACTTATATTCTTCTCTTATATTACTTATATTTTTATCTCATACTTACCTTTTTATCTTATAAAAATTGGAAATTTTCTGTTCATCTAAGCTTGTGCCTCATGACCGTGTAGGAGAGCCTCAGGCAGAAACAGCTAAGGTCTTTCTGGTCTGCACTGACAGTCTTTAGTAGAAGTAATTCCTGAGCATAGGTTGCACGTCTGTCTTCTCTCCACGTGGCTGGTGATGCTTTGCTTGGTGGTGACCCAGGAGGAGCCCGGGGAAGGGCACGCACCAGGCAGGAGCATGTTTGCAAAGGGGGAGCAGGCGCAGGGCCCCAGCCCCGCTGCCCGCGGATGTGCCGGGCTCTCGCCTGCAGCTCCCAGCATCAGCGGAGCTCGCATGGAGCCAGGGACACAGCTGTGCTGCTTTCACTGGGCCGGGGGCTAAAAAGTTCTGGATTTTCCTCCCCAGCCTCAGTGCCTGCCCTGTCCACCTACAGCAGGGAAATTTTCTTTATAAAACAAAAAAACCCCCGTTAAGAGGAGCAGGACTGAGCGATTGGCGTGGCAATTCCTGCTGGAAAGGACTTGCTGACTGCGGCAAGTTTGAGGCTTTGACTGTTTCTTGGGGGAGAGCTAACCCTTACAGTGCTGACCGCGGCTGTGGCATGGAGGCAGAGTTCCCAAAACCTTTCTCTTGTGCCGTGAACAGGACCCTGCGGTGCACGAGGGACTGATGGACAGCCCTGGGTCTCTAAAATGGTGTTGTCCCATTGAACACCAGTGACTTGGGCTTCGCAGGGTGTTGCTGGCTGAGCCCGTGAATCAAAATTGGAGTCGGGTCTGATGAAATCATGCCTGTCTGGAAAACCGCTCCCTGGCTCGGGTTGGTTTGAAGCAGCAAAATTTGCTTTCTGTGTGTTTAGGTTGCACTCAGAATTGAAGTTGTTGTGTTTGTTCCTTTGCCAGGCGCAGCACTTTCCCCTCTCTTCGGTGCGAGGTGGATGGAGAAGCAGCTCGTTGCCAGCAGTGGTGGCTAGTAGCACTGCGCCAAAAATCATGAGAGTCTGAGTCTCGCTACCAGATAGGTGGTGCGAGCTCTGCCGAGAGCTGAGGCTGAGTGGTTTTCCAGAGGCAAAGTCACTTTGCTGGGGCTGGACTGGGAGCATGTGGTCATGGAGGGAGGAAAAAGGTATTTTTAGCAAAGAGAAAAGCAACCATCCCTCCTTCCCTGCGGTGCCCTAGAAAGAGCTGTGCACAAGAGACGTCTTCTTGGATATTCCCAAGTACTGCAGCATTTTAGGTATGTGTAAGTGTAGTATGTCTGCGGGGTTGTGTGTGTATGTGGATGGACACACATATATAAAAGCAACTAAGCAGTTCTAGTTCTAAAGGATTAAGCTATATAGAATAATTAATTGCAGGTGAAAAGCTCAGGATAGGCGGTTGTCGTCGGTGCCAGCAGAGGTCCGGCTGAGCTGCCCGCTTTGCTGCTCTCCCTGCCACTGCAGCCTCTCGCCCTTCCTGTGAGGGCGTTTCGGAAGCCCTCCTGCCAGCACGCCTTGCTGGGGAGGAAATAATCACAGCCAAAATCATCAACCAGTGGCTTATCGGTCTGAGCTCTCAGGCTGGCTGAGGCCAGAGCATTGTGCCACGTATTCTTCCATCGGAAGAGCTGAGGATGGTACGTGGGAATGAGAGTGCCCTGGTTAAGGGACGTGCTCTTGGTGCTGTTCCCACTGGCCCTGCTCACGAGAGCATGGCCAGCGTCTGTAATACATTACCTTGAAATTAATGAGGCTAAAGCGCAGTGGTGGGGTTATTACTGGCTGATTTTGCCGTGTGAATAAAAGGTTTAATGCCCACAGGTAATGGCTTTGAGAAAGAAATCCTGAAAAGATCTTAATTCCCCCTGTTCTGTTCTCCCCCACGTGTCAGCTCCCAGTCCCTTGCTCTCCCTTCTCTTCAACCTTGAGCTTTTCCCTTGTGAGAAGTTAGCTCACATCTTGGCCTCGGCAAAACAAATCCTCAATGTGGCAGCTTTGTACCTAAACCCGCTTAGGAGCACCGCAGAGCCAGACATCCCCCAGCCCACGCTGACCTGCTGCCCCACGAGGCACCTGAACTACCACTGGTGAAACCCGCTGCTCCTGCGTCTCTGCGCCGGGGACCAGCAGCATCCCTCTCCATCTGTCCCCGCCTCGCTGCAGCATCCGGGCAGCAGAGCTCCCGCTGACCCCAAATCCCCGCGGTTTGGGTCCCGGTGCCCAGCCAGGGTGTTTGTGGTAGCGGGTCTTGGTGGGCTGTGATAAAACAGGAGGGCTGGCAGGTGTCTCGTGGCCTCCAAAGGGCAGAAAGCACCAGTCTGCACTGGAAAAGGATATTTCCTCAGGGTTTGGTTTGGGTAAAACCCAGCAAAATCCTTGCTGTGCCTATAACCCAGAAAGGGATTTTTCTGCTGTATTTCCAATGCAACCTGCGGCGCAGGCAAGCCCGAGGGGCGGCAGGGCAGCCCGAGTAAGGGCTGCTGCTGTGTCTCTGAGTGGCAGATTAGTAAAAGTTCTTGTTTTGCTTTCTTTTTCCTGTTTTCTTTTCGGAAGGGGGAAGCTGCATTGCAGAAATTGTAGAAAAGCTGTGCAATCTGAAAACAAACGGGAAAAGTCCCACCGGTAACTGGTGCTACTGGGAAACCTGGAGCTGGCGCTGCCAGTAAGGTCGGAGCCGCAATTTGGGCTTTGTGGTCAGTCAGCAGGACTTATAAATAACCTGTGGTTATTGAGGGCTACCTGGATGTCCACCCCAGCTACTCAGGGTTGTACCGTTCCTGAAAGACACTCACAGGCTAAAACCATGCTCCCGGTTAAGGTGCTGGTGGTGTGACTTGTCCTGTCTGTGCCGGGTCTTGCCAGCCAAGGCATCGGCGAGGCTTTGCTTGGGCTTCCTGTTTTGCCTGCACACGCTGCTGGGTTTGTGCCATCTGAAGCAGCTTTTTTCAGCCCTGAAAACTTGTGCCCCCCCCAAGCAAACAGGGAACATGTGTCCTTTTGTTGTGTTTTTTTTTTGTGAGAGGAGGAGATTTGGGACAGAGCTGCAGGGCAGTGTGTTTTCTGCCCGTCTCTGGCACACTGTAAGCACCAAAGCAAATTCCTCCAGGTTGTCTGGATCTCCCCTCGCCTTTCTAAGACCAGCCTTGGCAATGTGAGGGTAAACCACCGCCTGCTCTGTGCTTCCCAGAAACGCTGCATGGGTTGGAAATGTGCATCCAATCATCAGCAAAGCTGTTTTCTATCAAACTCCCTCTGCCTACGTTTACTTATATAATTCCCCGAGGGTTTTTTGGCATTGCAGTCGTTGATGCCTTAGCCCACAAGGAGGAAACCTTGCAACCCCCGCGCTGGCTGCTGTGCAAGGGGCTGCGGTGGCAACGGGGCCTCTCTGAGCCCCAAACCGGGGTCCCCCACTCTGCAGATTGTACCGTTGCTTTGAGAGCAGACGTGGTGCATAATGAGACTATTTACAAGCACTTAAAATAATACCCATGATGCCAAAATACGTGTTGAGATCACTTTATTTCCTCCCAAATTTGAAGCCTTAAGGATGCACTTGGGTAAGTTTTGTAAACTTTTCTTGGTACCCAGCGAGGGCTGGGACCTTTTCTGGTTTTTAAAGCAAAACTGAGAGGCTTAGGTAACATCTTAATCTATGACCACAGGCTTTAGCAAAATGCCAAATAACACAAGACTCCTAATAAAGACACAAGAGACAGCAACGCCAGCTACTAGTCCTCCCTTCTGCGGCTCGCCCCGGGTCTCTGCAAGCAGACGTGCCCTGGGAGACATCCTTCATCCTTCCTCCTCTTTGCTTGTGGCATATCCAGTCACAGCCTGTCTTCCAAGTATTCATCCCCCCATAATCAGTTGAGCATCCCATAGCTCCCGGGAGCCAGGCGGACTCCCTCGCTCAGCTCTGGGTGCCTTTTTCAATAGCGTGAGCTGACCCCAGTTTGTTTGAAAACTCCCTTTAACACTGATGTGGATATAGGTTAATACTCTTTGCTTGATTTATGTTGGTAAAGTTATAGTCTTGCAGTCCAGATTAGGCTAGATTAGGTTCAGATGATTGGTAGGGTTTTTTTTTTTGCAATGGAAAGAGGTTCAGTTTACATGGAGATAACAACTGTCCTGGATCTAGAGCCTCACACAAGCATGGTGGATGCTGTAAATCATCACGGGCCGCAGGTAGCTGCGGTTTTTTTTTTTTGCAATGGAAAGAGGTTCAGTTTACATGGAGATAACTAACTGTCCTGATCTAGAGCCTCACACAAGCATGGTGGATGCTGTAAATCATCACGGGCCGCAGGTAGCTGCGGTCAGGGCTGAAACTTCCCCGGTGCTACCTCCCTGAGCTGCGCTGAGGCTGAGCCGCCCGCTTACAACTCAGTATTCAGAAGGATTTTAAAAAATTACAAATACGTAGAAGCACTGGAACAACAGAAATGAGAGGGGCCCGAACCCGGCTGCAGTTCAGCACGGGAGAAGTACTGGCATCGACAACAGCTGTTTTGGGTATTTTAACGATATCGCGATGAAGAACACTGTAAGGCAAACAGTCCCCAGCAGCAACAATGCAACCAGCAAGTCTTTTTGCATCAAAATATCCTTCTAGGTCAGATCCTGGCATCTGTGGCACACAAGGGTAATTCAAGACTTATTTGGAGGCCTAACGCAATCTTCACTCAAGCTATGAGAAGCACCTACATGGACAGAAATGGCTTATGTTTCAAGAGATGGACTCCAGCAGAAGCTCGTCGGGTGGCATGGGGGGGATTTCCATGCTGTTTATTCGGCCAAAGAACTTGGGAAGAGACCAAAACTTAAAGCGTGGAAGATTTCTCTTCATACGAATGTCGTGGCCGGTTTCGGTGACGGAGAAGCTGCTCCCGTGGCGCACGAACCAAGCCCGCAGGGTGGCACAGCTGTGGTGCAGCAGCTGGTCCTGGAACTCGGAGGTCATGAAGTAGTAGAGGACCGGGTCCAGGCAGCAGTTGAGGCTCGCCAGGCAGAGGGAAATGGGGTGGAAGCGGAGTGTGCTCCTGTGAACGGCACAGTCCTGGATGATGTTCTCTATCACCATCATGAAGAAAGGGAAGTTGATGTGGTAGGGGGTGAAGCAGATGAAGAAGACAGCCGCGCACATCAAGACCATGCGCAAAGCCTTCTGCTTCTCGCTGGCGTTTTGCAGCTGCATTGGACACTCCCGCAGGGACTGCCACATCTTCCAAGTGCAGCAGGCAATGATGCCGAAGGGGATGACAAACCCAAACAGCTCCGCCACCGTCACCAGCGCAATGGAGGCTCCTGGGCTCAGCTGCTTCACCCCCAGGTCTGAGAAGCACGTGTTTGTGCTGTTTGACAAGGCTGGGCTCCTCACTACGAGCAGGGGTAAGCACGCTGCCCCGACGAAGAGCCAGACGGCAGCGCTGATGGCTGCGTCATACCGCCGCTTCCAGTCCTTGGCTTTGAAGGGATGGAGGAGGAAGAGGTACCGCTGGATGCTGATGCAGGTGAGGAAGCAAATGCTGGCGTACATGTTGAGATACTTCAGGTAGAAGCACAGCTGGCAAAGAAAACTTCCAAATGGCCAGGCGTGGTTTATGTAGTAATACATCCGTAAGGGCAGCGAGAGGACGTGAGCCAGGTCGGCCACGGCCAGGTTGATCATGAAGATGACGGCTTTGTTCTTCTTGCTGATGAAGCGGCACAAGACCCATAAGGCAGCGCTGTTGGCCAGGAGGCCGGGGATGAATATGAGGGTGTAGGTGGTTGCGTACAGGGTGGACTGGAAGGACATCTGGGGATCGGTACAGTTCCCGGAGGACGCGTTGCTCTCCATCTCGGCTGACTTTCTTTGCTCATGGGGTGATTAAGGCGGATGGAGAGTTTCTGTAGGGAGTAAAAACAGATGCTGTGAAGCCAAGAACTTCCCAGTATTTCCCCACATGGAGTAAATGTGCTTCAGTACAGAAGAATAAGTTGCGCGTAGGTGTGTGTACAGTGTGTGTGCGCAGGTGTATGTGCAAGATGGGGTAAGGTTGGTGGCAGGGGGGGGGGGGGGGGGTGTTGGGAAGAGTGCAGGGCCAGACCCTGCGTACAGGCAGAGATCCCGGCTTCTCCTGCGCAGCTCCTTTCAGATGTGCTCTGCAAGATTTCATACCCTGCCACCCCCTAAGGCGATGCCACAATTACAGTGACATTGCAATTGAGCTCCGTAGCATTAATCTCTTTCTTGCTAATGCCAGAGAGCTTCTTCAGCTCCCCGGAGTTTTTCAAGACCATTTTACTGCATATAGTTTTCTGTTAAACTCCCATCAAATTGGTTCTCTCCAATACATCTAGAAGCCATTTCGGTGGGACTGTAAATAAATAGGGACTTTAAATGGATCTAGACACTGTCTTTTTAGATCCATGCAGTGGTCCGATGTGAATCGGCAGCGAGGGCAATAATTAGTATCAGCAAATGATGGTGCTGGCAGGCAGCCGACCGGAGCAGAGGCCAGTGGGAGAGGTGCAGACAGATCTATCAGAGCTCTGGCTCCAGATTTAAGGCTGGATTTATAAGCTAATAGCTGGCCGAACACATGCCAGTTGCTCTGCTGGTCCTGCTAACTCAATTCTGGCACTCATGGCACACTGTGCAGGCATCGTGTTGTAGCAACAGAAATTATCCTCCAGCAACAGTTCAGGACGTGAAGGAAGATAAATACATCTGTCTTTTAGTTAGAGCAGAAATTCTTTTCATCCATTTACCCATTTCACCTCATCCAGCCAGCGCTGAGGGTATTAGTGGGTCAGAGGGAGCTGCACAGCTCTCGGAGAGGTGATGGATTTTTGCCGTTCGTGAGCAGAGCCTGCGGGGAAACGGTCCACTCTTTTGGGAAGAGGCGATTCGGCAGCAGCGGGTGACAAACCAAGGGCCTGTAGCATCATCTGCAACAAAACGGTGCAATTTTCCCCTTGGAAATGGAGCCTGTAGCTGCCTGCAAGGTGTCAGGCAGCCTGTCCTTCCCTTTCAGGAGACCAGAGCCTGATCTGGCAGAGCCCTGAGCACCTCTTGCCGTTGCCACCGAGCCCCTCGATAGCGATATTTAATTCAGCAGCAGCCAGGGGTGCTGTTTCCCACAGCCCTGAGCCTGGCGTTTGCCACAGGGATGGATGTCTAAAAGCTAATTGCCCACAGTGGGGACCAGGCTTCTGCGCAGAGCCTGGCATTGCTTTGAGGCGCAGGGTGAAGGCTCCTCTACCCTGCTCCTCCTCACCTAGGCAGATCTTCAGAGGGGTTGCCACGTTTTCAGTTTCAGGAGGAAGGTTATACACGTATACGGATATATTGATATATAAAATATAGCCGGCAGCCTCTCGGCTGGCTGCCTGCCGCCTGTACCTCTGACGCGAGAAGGGTCGGTGCATTTACCCACATTTCTGTGCATGTGCGGTGCTTATGCCCTGCTTTCTGAACTGAGGTCTTGCCAAACTGCCTTCTCCCATTTGCTTATTTCTCCAGGGTTTAGGCTGCAAAAAAGCAAGGCTGAAGTGAAACCCCGGCTGCAGGCGGGCTGCTGGGCTAATGCACTTTTTGGCTGCTGACTATGCTTGAGCCGGCAGCCCTGGGTCAGAGGTTGCTCATTTCTCTGCTGGGATGGGGCAGCAGGCAGGGGAGTGGGGATATCTGGCACGAGGGGACAGCTGGAAAGAAAACCCTTCGGTCCATGCAGCATCCCCACGTGCTCCTCACCCGCCTGAAAACCCACGAGGCCGGTGCCCTTTGCACCAAGTCTGTTTAACCCTGGAAAAGTAGTGGTAGGACACCTTGTCTTCACATCTCTGCAGAAAATAGGGAGGGGAAAACTGCCGGGGAGCGTGGGGAACGCGGCTATTCCCAGCTCTTGTCACACCTTTCCAGTGGCAGAGGTGGCACTTGCTGGTCTGGGCTTGTGAAAGGGATTATAGAGTGCCCAGTGTCCCTGTCCCACCATCTCCTCCCTGCCACGCATCTCAGCCCAAATCCTAAACCTTGTCCCTGCAGACGTGACCACAGGGAGCCTCCTTGCTGGTTTTCTCCATTTTTTTGGCTTTCCCTGGGAGCCCGGGAGTGCCTATTTCTCATCGGGAGGGCCGGGTGTCGCTCCTGGTACCTGACACTTTCAGTTTTTAGGTGACAGGGCTTGTCAGGGCACCTGGCAAGAAAGCAGCGGGGAGCTCCCCGCCGAGCCGCCGCCGGTCTGGGTTCAGGCCAGTGCTCATTCACTACAATGCTTCCTGAAAGAGCGGATTTTTTAATTTACTATTATTTTTCAGTTTTCACTCTGTGAGGAGCCTCCCCTCCTGCCTGCACCTTGCCCCGAGCCCCTCCAGCTCCCCCCATGTACTTCCGTCAGTGACGCCGGTGCCGGGGCAAAGATGCTCCCTTGGGCTTTGGCAGGGGTTTTGCTCAGCGACTTTATAAAGCTTGTACGAAATACTCCCCGCTGTTCCTTGATTGTTTTCCTATTTCATCCACGCACGGACTTACACACGGGCAGGAGCTGGGGAGGTGGGTTTTTTTTTAACTGGTAAAGCTGAGTTTTATCCAGCTGCACGCTGAAATTACAGAGGGAAGACGGGTATCACTGCCAGAGGAGTAAGACGACTGGTTGTGGATGTAGCACTGCAATTCATTAAACATCAAGTAACTTTGCAATTAATTAGGAGGTTATTAAAACACCCGTGTGTCTTTTTCCGAGTATGTTAGCAGTATCTGTTCCCGGAGGCGTATGTGGCTGTCGTTGTTGGAAATCGCCTGGCTACTCTGAATCACTCTGCGCCCCACCCAGCCCTACACTGCTGCGGTATTGCATTTACTACTCCCAGATTCACTGGCAAACTCGCCCTCATCTTTTCCATGGGTTGGTTGGACAAACCGGGCTAAAGCTGCGCTCCGGGCGCGGCTGGAGAGAGCCCCTGGCTTCGGGAGCCCCGGAGCCGGGGTGCAGCTGGGGGGCCGGGGCAGAGCTGCCCCCCTCAGCCCTGCTCAAGCCTGGGATGCTGGAGGGAAAAGCAGTCTAGGGGAAAGAAAAAAAAAAAAGCCACTTTTGGCTTGAAATAAGCTCCTGATTTGAAGTAGCAGAGGCTTTCTGGCACTTGTGTTTTAAACAATAATTTTGCTTGTTTAATCTAGGCACTAATAGGAAACACGTAAACAGAGCTGATGGGTTATGGCAGCTTCTGTCAGTAATGACAAAATGGAAGTATTTTGGGTAAAACAGGCTTTCCCTGTGTGCTGCCGCACACAGCAGCCTGCTTGGATGCTCCGAGCTCCACTCACCCACCCCTCGGAGCCGAGCGAGACAGAAATACGTAGGCACAGTCAGAAGCTGCTGAGGATGTTGCACCAGCCTCTGCCTGATAAGATCTCTTGAGGAAGAAATAAAAAAAAAGTGATAACGTTGCTCAAAACTGTGATAGCTTCAACCTACTGAAGAAAACACGCAGCAGAAATCAAGCTTACCTTCCCGTGACTGCCATCCTTCTGGGGGGTGACATCCATGCTAGAGAGCAGGAGGAGCGAGCTTTCTGCTTTTATTTCCCACCGATTTTCGCAGCAATCCCACCCCCAGCGACTCCTCGTTAAACTTCCACATGTTTTCGGAGGGCTGGAATCCTGCCGGCATCTGCAGCCCAGTACAGTGGCTGCAGAACAGGAAATCCTGTATTTTGTTTCTCTTCACCACACAAAACGTGTACAGCTAATGACGTTAAAACAACTGGGAAGGCGATGACGTCGTTTGATCCAACGGCTGTGCGATAGAGACCTCGGACGCGGATTTCTTTCCTTCTTTTTGCTCAGGAGTTGTGTTAGGTGGCGGTGTCCTTCGGTCAAGCTGCTTCTGCTTTTATCCACGGTCACTTGCCATTTGCTTGCTAAAAACTATAAAATACAGAAGCAAAAATCTTCCAATAAGTGCTCGCTAAAGGAAAACTGAAACTGTGCCAGTGTAAGTTACTGGAAGGTAGCAATTTTCCTTCATTTTCTTGGAAGTTTGGTGAGCCTCAGGCTATCAAGGCTATAGGCTAAAGCTAAGGATTTGGACTTTATTTCTGAAATAATATGATGGTTTAAGGTGGAGATTTTCCCAAAATACCATTATGGGTTTTTTTAAACAATGTGCATCATTCCCAATTGCTCTTTTTTTCTTTTTGCCTCCTTTAATTCCTTTCCCATATATGTATATGCATATATATATAATTTTTAGTTCTTTTACTGCCTGCTAAGCATGACCACCTTCTTTCTGAATTGCTAAAAACTGGCGGGCATATATTGTAGTGTAACTTATTATGAGCTGCCTCATTTCCAGCTGAACAGTTTTACTTGATACACAGTGTCACATCTTACGGCCCAGGGCTTGCGAAGACAATACGGCTGTTGGCATCTTTCCCTTTCTTATTGTAGGTAACGTATAAATAGAACTATTCTTGCTCTGTTCATCTATTCCCTGTAATTGGTCCTATGACCCCGCAAAATTAACAGAAATGTAACTGTGGAAGAGAACTGAAAGCAGGAAGCTATTATAACCTTTAATTGTAGAGTAAGTCGCCAGCTCGGGATCTGAGATCAAGCGTGCATCTTTCCCCACAGTATCTGAGCCCCCCGGCTCTGCCGGCTGCGCAATTGCCAGGGTTTCTCCGCGCTGGCAGCGATGCTGATCACGGGGACCTGAGTGCACTCCCGTGCCGTGAAGTGGTGCTTCACGACAGCAGCGTAGAGAACGGAGAAGAGGATCCTTGACCTGAAGTGTCCTGTGGTCAGTGGAGGGGCAGTTACTTAAATCCGTTGGTCAACATCCTCAGGAGGGCAAAAGCAAGACCAGTTTATACACCAGCCTTTATACACATATCTATGGGCTTCGTTACTGCTTGCTTATCCATCATGTAAACACAGCCTGCTAGCAAATAAGTACTTGTGAAGCCCCATACTTCCCGTCTCAGCTGAGAGCAAAGTGATTTGGAAGATGCAAGAGCTATTTATCATTCCAGGTTTTCTTTTTGTGCATCTCTTTCAGCAGCAGATGCTGATCCTTGGAGGAAAGAACAGTGCTCGTGTATTTGCAAAGCATCCATGGATTCACAGGAGGGAGGCTGGTGCTGTGCCCCATCCCTCTCCAGAGGTTAAAGGTTTATCCCAAAGTGAAGTGGCTGTTTTATCAGGATATCCTGCCTAGGACATCCTACTTCTGTGTCCACAGCACGCACCCAGCGCCGCATCCAGCCATCTCCAAGCCCTATTTTTAGGTACGTGTTTACAGCAGGGCTGCTGGGGAAGGAGAGGTCAGTGGATGTCAGACCGCAGTGAGGGTCAGACTCCCACCTCCGGGTTCATAACCACATCGAGTCCTTCCTCCGCTCATCGGCTTTTTGGAGTACTTTTGCAGAAGACGGCAACCTTCCTAGTCGTGAAAGGCTGATGGATTGACAAGCCTCAAGCCTTTTCCTTCAATGTATACTAATCAACCTCTCCGTTCTTCTTTCAACTGCATGCATATTTTTGTTTAGCATTTCTGCTCTTCTGGCTCATTACCAATACTAAACATGCATTTTAGGCTATGCAATGTTATACTTTGAAAGGCAGAAGACACAAAGGAATTTTTAAATAACTGTGAGACTTTATCTAAGGCCTCCAGATAAAGGTCATCTTCGCCTTTAGCCTGGTATCCTGTGGGCAGAAGGCCAAATGCATATGATCAGCATCTCTTTAAGTGCTCAGCATTTAGAAATATCTGACAGGATGCACCTGAAGGATGTATGAAAAACAGTGGGCCATTCGGGAGGAGGAGGTTTTATGCACACAAAGCAACTCACCCTTGTGCAGAGACTTGCTACGGCTTGACCGGAGCCGTCGGCATATGGCCCGTGGGGCTGGGCGAGTCCCTGGTGCCCTGTGGCACATAGTCCCTCTCGCCGCTGCACAGTGGTTGCTACAGGGGTAGCATTTTTAGGAAGCTTTGGTTTATTTTACAGCAAATAATTGTCGGTCACTCCCTACCTTTTTGGGCTAAGCCCTCGTGTAATCCACAGACCCAGCATTTTTGGTCAAAATGCACCAGTCATAGCCCCAAAATCTGTTAAATGCAATGAAGGGTTTTCATATTTTTGAGCTGGCTCCTAGTTTTTGAGCTGTTGTCCTGCATTTACAGCATATCTTGTTTTTTCTCTGCACAGAGAGCTGGTAATTTCATTTAAGGAAAGAAAATGAAGCTGAGGTACGCGCAAGATCCTGCAGCTCAGAACCTGAGGCTGCAGAAAGGCATTAAATCCCATGGGGTTTCTTTCCAAATACGTTTGCTGTCAAGCACGGGAGGGCCCTTTCTCAAGCAGGAGAGGAATTACCAGACCTCTGATACCAGTTAAGGTGGGGCGGCCATTTGCTGGCACTGCAAAGAAACACATTTTCTTTTGCTAACAGGTGAATGGCTCATGTGCTAGAGAAGGAGAATATGTCATGCCGTGGTTTTGCCCAGGGCCGTGCCGTCGGGGCACACGCACTGCCGTCGGTGCAGGCGGCTTGGAGACCTCACCATGTTTCCACCCTGAGCAGTTCCCTTCGGGGTGAGGTTTGATGCAGGCTTGCTCCAGCACCAGGTGCCAGCGGAGCCCTTCAGATCCATCCTTCACAAACCTGCATAGCTGTAGCCAGCCTCCTGACTTGGTTAACTTCTGCCTTTCTGTGGCACCTCTGTTGAAAGACCTTTTTTTTGTGTCTGCCCAAGAAGGATGAAGATGTCATCTTTTTATAGCTGGTGAGTCCGGGCAGCGGGACCAGCACAAGAGATAATCCAGGAGCAACATCATGAAATTACATTTCCTCTTGTCAAAATAATAAACATGTTTTATGGTCGCAGGAAATGGGGTGAATTACAGGAACCGGAGCTGGGCACATTGTGCCTTTCAAAGTGTGAGAGCGCTGGCAGGCAAAGCCAGCACCTGCAGCCCCGGGTCTTGTGTCGGATCCAGCACCTCCCAGCCAAGAAGGCAGCCGAAGTACTGTCCTCCTCGACGGTAACGCTGGATTTGTCTATTCGTCTCTTGAGACACTGCTGAGGTTTTGAAGGACTTAAACTAAAAGCTTTGAATTTCACATATGGGTTTGTGGAGGCCAAACTGACGGTCTTTGACTTTCTACATGCTTTCAGAAAATTCCAAGTTTTCCTTGATCTCTTTTTACCTTGAATTGTTGCTTTCTAGGCTAGCTCCCCATCATGACCATCTTGGCTAACTTTCTGTCATGGTTTAACCCCATCCAGCAACTAAGCACCACACAGCTGACTTAACTCTATCCCAGCCAAAACCAGTATGCTTTCCCACGCACCAGAAGAGACCATTAGAGCAGGCTGTCTAACCTCCTGCACATCAGAGTGACTTGACTTGAAAGGCTGAAAATGTTGAGCGTCTGACTTTTCCTCACAGGCTGGGGCTGCAGTATGTAAAAGACCATTTTGGGGGGGTCTAAGGGAATTCAGAGAGCCGAGTGAGGCAGGAAGACAGGGGGGAGAGCGTGAGCAGCCGAGGTGCTTGGGGATGCCATCGTGGTGGCGGGGAATATTATCCCTCATGGAGCCACCAAATTCCTTGTTAAGGTTAAGGGTGGGAGAGCCACCATCGCTCTTTGGACTTTCAGATGCTGCCGGGTCCACGTTACAACTTTCAGTACGTAGGGGACAATAGTTACCGATTTCTGCTTTACCAATCTTGTCGTACATGATGTGAATGCTTTTTTAAGCCGTATAGATTTGGATCTGCAAAATGATTGTTGGATGAGATATAGAGAGATGATTTCTGCGGTCCTGCCTGCATGTAAGGATGATAGCCGTCACTCCTCCTCACCCGGTCACATACCACCCACAGCACAGCTGTTCCCACGAAGGACCTTTCTCTCCCCAGAATACCTCTAAATCCAATGTAAGTGTTGTAGTTAAAAAAAATAAATAAATAAACACCAGTCATATTAGAATGGTGAAAACCTTTCTGTAGACAAGCAAGCAACCTGTTTAAGAATAGCAAAAGTTGATGCACTCCATCACTTGAACTCTTTGATTCAAGGAGGAGCTGATCCCATTCAGTTTTCTAGGTATAAGTGATAACTACGAAACTCAGCTTATGTTTGCAAAAATGTGTTTATTTTTTAAGCATCAGTTTTTGGAAAGAAAAATGTAGGGCAAGCTACATAGTTACCATAACAGTGCCTTCAGTTTGTTTTCACCTGATAAATGGAGAATTCTATGAGAAAGAAATCACAGTAAACAGCTCCTAGTCACATGCTAGCTGATCAAGGTCCATAAAAATCCTCAAAACAACCATTGAAACTAAAGTCTCCTTCACTGACAATATTATACAGCGTCTAGCTTATGAGAAAACTGCTAAACTGACAAAAATTTCATTTTGCATGCTTAACTGCATTACCTGAGCACCAACCTCTGCTCTCATTTTTAAGGGGTCTACCTGCAGTGTGTAAACGTGTATGTGTATCACCGGCGTAACGAACTGCCAGTTAAATCAGAGAAAACATTTCCATTGACTTCAGTGGGAGATGGACTGTTTGCCTACTCTGCAGCTTTCTCACCAGAAGCCTGCAATAATACTCTCTCTGTGAAAGCTACTTCCTTCAGATAGGCATATTTTGGTATTTTCACTTATCTACATGTAAGATTAAGTTCATCGTACTGTAGCCCATAATCATCTTCTCACAAATGGGAGGAGAACTACAAGAGCTTATTGTATTTAATCAGTATGTCTTCGCTGCCTTTTAGAGGAACTCCAGTGTAATGGTTATTTAAAGCTGGCTATTGTTTGCTTTTTCTCATTTTATTGTAAAACAGTCAAGTGGGAAAACATAATATGCAGAAAATTTTCGGCCGAGTTAAAATGTAATTAAGTGGAATTGAGAAGTTGGATTTAAAATATACTTAGCAAGTGTTTCTGGTATTTCTTCTATTTTTTAGCAACATGTCAGATGCTGGCACTGGTGCTTACTGAGAACTGTACACGTTCCTTTTGAAAAAACACAGGTTTTCAAAGGCAATAAAATCAGCGCCTGTGTTCAGCCAAAACAATCCCCAGGTATCACGAGGATACCCTTGAAGTTACACAAAGTGGGTGAACTTGGCTGAAGAGCTGTCGCTAACTTAAAATAAGGGGCAAATGGCATCCTTTCCTGTCACTGCTTTTCGTATCTTTAAAGCCGATGAAGTTATAAAACTGTAAACATTAAGATCAAGAGAGGAGCTGGTGGAAAAAAATCACAATGAATAATTTACTTAAGAAATTAGCCTATGCTCAGTTAGTGAAATCACCTTGGCAAGGACACCTCTCTCTTTAAAAAGTTGTGCCAGTTGAACCCATTGAGCAGAGATTTCATGGGGCGGATCCATCGCAGTTACCTCTGAGGTGAAGAAGCCACACGCAGAAGAGAGTGAGGACCTGAATGGTACCACCAGCATCCTCAAATCCACCTGCACCGATGCCGAGTCCGGCTGCACCCAGCCCATGGCGTGCTCCTGGTGGTCCTGGCCCTCGGGGCCCAAAGGTGAAGGCCACGTGCTGATGCCCCCCTTGTCCCCGGGGGCAGCTCGGAGGGGAAGAAAGTCACTCGGAGCAAGGGAAGGTCCCATTCTCTGGAGTGTTTGAGGAGCCATCAGGAGAGTTTGTCCTGTAGAGGGTCTTGCACCAGCTGTAGGTGCAAGTTACGGGATGCATCAGTGATTAAGGAGCAAACTTAGAGCTGGGTGAGGAGGAAATAATGAATGAGAGCGGGAGGGGGAGCGAGGGAAAGGTGAAGCAGAAGTGTGGGGACCAGTGGGATGCACTCAAAGCTGGGGCTGCCGTGCTGAAGCAAGCTGCCAACCTTCACGTGTCCGCAGCCCTGAGTGCAGAGACCAAAACTGCCATTTATTATTACGGCCATTTTCGGGTTCTTGTATGCATTGTGTGTTTTTAGCAGAGAAGATATTTCAGTGGATGTCAGTGTATGGATGTGGGATTGTCTTTTGTTTGATTATAGAGCCATGGAGTTGGGAAAATAGAAGAAAAGCCTCCTGGGACGCTTCCACCATTTCCTAGCAAAAGCTTTGTCGCTCCCTCCTGTATATTTTCTAGTCCAACTAGGTCAGGCGCGGATGGCACAGCGGTAGGTGTAGTCACGCCAGTTGGGTCGCTCATCAGCTCCCAACACATTGGTCTTAAACAGTTTTATCTTCTATCTGTTGAAAGATTTCCACTGCCACAAAACTCCCCCGAATAAACTTGCAGGATCTTCCACAACGGAGTTGGTAATCGAGTATCACAGAACAGTCCCAGATTTCATATGAAATATCTTCATTCTTTTAAGCTGGCTTTCCTGTCATTCCTTAATTGATGAGGCACTCTCTTTGCTCATGAGCCGACTCCTGATGACCATGCTGCTGTGCCTTGATATCTGATCCTGAAACTCTGAAGTCATAAAGAAATACAGGATTGGATCCAAACAGCAGTCCAGACTCGCAAGACTTAAGCAAAAGGGTTGGGCGTAGAGCGTGATGGTACTCAGGAAGCAGTCTGTAATGACGTTTTCTTTCACCAACATGTAGAAAAAGAAGTTGATGTGGTATGGTGCAAAACACACGCAGAACACAATGGCACACATGGAAACCATCCTTAAAGCCTTCCGCCTCTCGCCGCTGTTTTGGAGCGGTATCTGGAAGCCCCGAAGAGAGTCTTTTGTTTTCCAAGTACAGAATAAAATAATGATGAGAGGGCCGATGAACCCGAAGAGCTCCGCCGTGCCTGTCATCAGCACAGTGGCCACCTTGCTGTCGATCTGCCGGACTTGAAGGTCTGCAAAGCAGGTATTTGTGGTTTTGGCCAGGCCGTAGCTGCGCATGATGGGGAATGGCAAGCACGCCACCCCAACGAAGAGCCACACCACAGCGCTGATGGCTACGTCGTACCGCCGCTTCCAGTCCTTGGCTTTGAACGGCTGATACAGGAAGAAATACCTCTGAATGCTGATGCAGGTGAGGAAACAAATGCTGGCATACATGTTGAGGTACTTCAGGTAGAAACACAGTAAGCAAAGGAATCTCCCAAAAGGCCACGTGGAGTTAATATAATAGTATATTCGCAGTGGCAGCGAGAGGACGTGAGCCAGGTCGGCCATGGCCAGGTTGATCATGAAGATGACGGCTTTGTTCTTCTTGCTGATGAAGCGGCACAAGACCCATAAGGCAGCGCTGTTGGCCAGGAGGCCGGGGATGAATATGAGGGTGTAGGTGGTAGCGTACAGGCTGTTTTTGAACATTATATTGTGACTGGAGCAGGTCTGGTTGCTCTGCGTCATGACTGGGCTGCTGGAAACATCTGTCGTGGTATAGGGTGGGTGGGTCATTCCTGTAGAGAACAAAAATAGGGGCTGTAAAGGCAAAGGCACTGCAAGAGTTGTCGATATTCACATTTGCATTTCCTATTTGACTATTCAGTAGGAAGTAGAGGTTTGGAAATGTCTTCTGTATAAAACATCCTGCTGTCTTCTTCAAAGCTGCCCTTTCAGAGGTCTCCCACTATTCACACAGAGGTGGGGAACCATTCCTGTTGTGCCAGTCCCCTTGCTGGGCTGTCCGAGTGCCATAAGCACAGGTGAAGCTGTGCCATACTGCTAATAGAGGAGTAGGAGAAGCTGCCTATCGTTTTGGCAGCTCAAGGTCATCTGTGGTTTGGTCTCTGAGTAGCAGGGGAGGAATACATGGAAGAAAGGTGTGCCATAGCCCAGCTCCTGCGTGTGAGCAACCACATGGCATCAAAACGTGGGTGCCAACCACTGAATCATACCTGCCATTAACGTGTACATTATTGCGTGAGTGGCATGTCTCCTGATCCCATCAGTGGACCTCATGGACCCACCTTCTCTGGCACGATGGGGACAGGCCGTGTGGGAAAGGGTAGCAGGGAGTGGGCTTGAGGAGTTTGACCGCTGTAAGTGCAGCCAGTGCTCCTGAAGTGTGCTGCCACGTATTTAAGCTAATGTAACAAGCAGAGACCTAATCAGATCACCAACTTCCATTTCTCATCACCCTAGCAGCCTCAGTTTAACACTTTTTTCCATCAGATAATTTTATTTTTAGATGCTTCCAATTTCTGGCTCTCCTTTGATTCAGATGAGTAGGGATGGCGAAATGTCACATATTGAACTGTTGGGCCATCATTTTTTTGTCAGCTTTTGTAACTGGGACTTGTCTTCAGTAAGGCAACATAGGCAGGAGGAGTTTGATTTTATCAGGTATTTCCCCATAGGGTTATAATTCTCATTACAGTGATTCCCTCCTGTGTCTAATACAATGGTTAAAATCGAATATCAGCTTCCTATTTCATGTGGCACTGCAGACACTGATTCATTCCTTCTGACTCATTTCCCGCACCACTGGCAAAGGGCATTTGCCAGAAAAAGTGTCTCTGTATGTAGATATTAGTAACTCGTACCCTGTTACTACTGTTTTTTTCCTTCATGTTACAAAAAAAGAGTAGTGTTTGGAGCTCTCAAGTGACAAAGAACACAAATAGCTGTTTTTTCAGCATGTTAATCGTTGCGGTACTTGGACTTGGCAGTTCGTACAGACACTGTTCAAGGCTGCTATGGAAGGGTTGTAACTCAGGCCCCAGAAATGCCCAGATGTGGCAAGGTCCCAGCATGGGACACAGGCCACCCTCACCGCGGGTGCAGTGGCTCTGGCTGACGCTGATGGTGAGCAGGGCCACCTAACCACAGCTCCTGCGGGCTCCCTAAACAGATCCTGCTGCCAACTTTCTTGCTTTTCTCTTTAAACTTGTCTTTCGTTTTCTCACACTCTTCAAAAAGCAACATCTGCATGTTTATCTCCTGCAGCACCCTCAGCTTTAGCAACTGGGCTACATCCTTCAGTTGCACCAAACTTCAAAGAAATGCTGCAGTCAAGAAACCCTGTCTAATCCCCCTCCTTCACCAAGGTGGCACGAGTACACTGAGGCCAGGTGCCTCAGAGCACACCTCCCAGGATGGTTTTGTCCCCCCGGGGCAATCCCTCCAGTCTGCAGTTCACTCCCAGTAACCCTCACCCCAAGCCAGCTCTGGGACAAGATGCTCTGCTCTGTGGTGGGGTGTCCCCAGCTGCCCCCACCCCAGGACACCACAGCCTTGCTCCTATCACAAGGCCAGAACATGTCCATGAGGAGGGAAGAGGGCTCAAAAGGTGCTGGAAGTGAGGGGGAAAGATGCATCTGGCCCACGGCCTTATCTCCACCGGTCTGAGAAGCAACACTGGAGGCCTCCTGCTCTCCTTTCTGGTGCTCCTCAGGACACTGAGACAGGGAGTGGACAGGGCACGGAGCTGAGCAATGGGGTGTTCACTCAGGGCATTGCTTCTCAGAGCGGTAAATTTGGGTTACATCCCATTTCTTAAGAGTGCTGTGAATTTCTGGTCCTCAGGATGTTTGTGATCCCTTTCCGTCTGGTTTGTCTGCAGCTCTAGCTGGACATGCTGTCTACTGCCCTTGTCTCCAGTAAGAGCACTGCTCACTACACCCAATTTCTGCCCCTTCAGGTGACCTCCCACTTTGCCAAGAAGCCATTAAAGAGCCACTTTCAAAGTTACTAGCTGCCTGGGTTTCCTTGGGTGTCCAGGTTAGACTGACTGCCGGGTGCTCCTCCAAAACACGAGTGCTAGATGGCCATTGAAACCATGGAGGATTAGGTACATTTGCAAAATGTTCTATTTTAAGGACAAACTTATATTTAAATGCTGGCCAGTAGACACGTGTTCTTCAGTTCAAATGAGTCATAACAGTCAGTTTGCTTATTGAGGTCCCTAGATACTGTTAGCCCTTATTTACATTTCATGTGACAGCTAAGGACCAGACCGCAATGTCAGCAATCAGAATAATCAAGTTCAGGCTGCTGACTCAAACTGGCCTCTGAATGGAGCCATTTAGGGTAAACTGACATGCCCAGGATGTGTCTGCTGTAACATGGGGGTGATGCTGAGTGCACACGCTTGATACCAGAATTCAGCCTTCGCTTTCTGGTTGCAGCAAACCGTGCCCGGGCATGCAGACGAGCACAGGGCTGGGCTGCAAGGGCTGCAGCGTACCTGAGACCATGGTGGAGCCCACAGCACGGAGAGGTTCCCCCTTGGCCTTCATCTTCATCTGCTAATTGTCCACAAGGTGTCAGAGTTAATCAAGATTTCATTTCTTTGCCCTCCTCTTTAAGGTATTTTTCTAACACCCAAGGGACTAGGGCTGTCTGAGTGGCGGGAGGCAGAGGCGGTGGTGTGACTATCTTCTCATGAATTTGTGTTGCTACCTTCTAGGGTGATCCCAAATTGAAAAACTCTTGTGTTGCTGAATAAGTGATATTAGGGGGAAAAAAATGCGCCCAGGAGTAGTCCTCATACTGCTAGTATTTACAGATAGAAGAGTCCTGAAAAGCTGCACTTTGATGGAGACCAGGGAGCTGCTTTGAACCTTGGAGCCAAAAAGGTTATAAAACCCAACCTGTGGAAATGCAGGTGATGTCCCATCCCCACCACCCCGAGCAAACATAACACTGTGATTGATGAACAGGAGATGTATGGTCCGTGGAGTCAGAAAAAGCCTCTCCCTTGCATTCAATGAACTCGGGGTCAGGCCATTTACAACGAAGTGGACAGAGCAGGATGACCTGGCTGGCAGTGCAAAAGCATTGACACAATTCATATATACGTGGGTGACGTCTGCTGGCTCATCAGAACAGGGCACTTTCTGAGAATGAATGACTTCATTACAAAGTCATAAAAATATAATGAGATTAAACCATCTCTTTAGCCAAAATGCACCCAGGCATATGCACAGGGGACTACAAAACAATTGCATTTCTGCCCTTCCTCCCACTTCTCTTGTTCAGATTGAAGCTTAATCCTACACTGTCCCCTTATCTTCCCACCTGTGCACAAAAGCACACGCACAGAGATACCGCTGAACGTTGGTCTGAAATTGGGTGTCCAAAGCTGTTAAGAAAGCAGTCATTTGCTGCATGACGTGTGTACAGCAAAGGTAGAAGGCTGAAAAGCTCCATCATATTTTATCGACACTTATTTACACAGGAGACGGCTCCTACATTGTTTTCAGAATATGAAATTTCAAAAAAATTGGTAGTAAATAAATACACTGTTATCTAACTACTGTTTTGTACATTTTAATTAGAGTCTGTATTTCTGAGGCTGCTGCAGTAAGGACATAATTAAGTGTGCGCATTATTACTTGTAGCTGGACATTTGGAAACTAAACGTGGCATTTCCAGAAAAAAGATGTTCATCTTGATTGGACTGAGAAGCACAGGAATGTCATTCCAGAGTCCTGGATCTTTCTGGCGTGCCCATCAGCAGACGGGTTAATTAATTTGATTAAGACACAAATGCCTCTACACTCTGCCCTCATTGCATGGCCGTGAACATCTCACGCTATTGCACTTGCACTTCGGTGTGAAACCTCCACAGTCAGAAGTGGAAAGTTCTACAGTTAAGGGTGCTTTTTCTGGTTTTCTTCTTCCACAAAAAAGCGCAGATCTGGGTTGTCTGATCTGTTGTGATGAGGTGTTTTCGTTTTGCAACACTAGCCTAATTCTCACTTCTGCAGCTCCGGCAGCTGAAGAAGCAGGGCATGCACACGCAGCAGGACGCCGGCAGCCTCGCTGGAGCGCTTGCTCCAGGCTGGGCGAGGGCTGTCCCGCGGATGGGCTTCCATCACGGATGCAGTTCCCATGGCTGGTGATGTTTGCACCAGAGCCAAGGTCCCAGCACTTTCACTTGACACTAGAAAACATGCCCTTAAACAAAAATCACACTCTTACTTCACACAACCTACTGCTCCAGCCTGCTGCTGAAGTCCTCTCCTACATAAATCCGCAGCAAGCCAGATTTGACATACTGACTCGCCTTCGGTGCGATTCCCTTTTGATTTACTTTAAGAAATTTCAGATTCAGGGGCCACCCACTATGAAGCCTGTCTGTAATTGCTGAAGTGCATATGTGCCGTATTGCTGTGCTCCCGGCAGTGCTGAGCTGCCGGTGCAAGTGAATGCAAGCCCATCAGTAAGCCACCTTTTACAAAGTACCGTTTAAAAGCTTCAGTCCATGAAGTAAGTTAAGTTTTAATCCAGACCAGTGACTGCAGTCTGAATTATGAATTAAAACTGCCTCGGGATTCTCATTAACAAAAACAAGTCCAAGCAATCTTGCTATTTGTGTTATACTGTGTTCCCCTGACTAATATTAATTCCCTACTGCCACAATTCAGTCAAAGAGCATTGGGTGGCACAAAGACAGGCAGCATGTAGATTTTTTTTTTATGGTAATATAGATCACCGTTAGAAAGAACAGATTTGCAAGTTTCCCTTACTGTCAAGTATGATTTTAAAATAAAAGATATTCCCTGAGAAATCAGGCAAAAGAAAGAAATTGTGCCTAGTAATGACACTGGAGAGCAGTTGGAGAACTGCTAATTGCCCACGCTGTAACATTTTGCTTTCTCTAGCAACAGCAATTCATGCAGCCGCTGTTTCATCTCCTCCATGTGTTCATACAGAGGATTGGCATGCAAGGAGGGCTGCTGTTTTTTCAAGACTCAAAGCAACACAAATCTCCTCCTGGCAAGAGCCAACCCCTAAGAAGAAGCCCAAGGAGCACAACGTTTTCATAGGAAACAGCATAGGCTCGTTAACGTTGGTTCTAGATCACAAAGAGAGAGCTTAAAAGCAGCCTTACCTTTTCAGGCAGAAACCCAGCTAAGTGCAGCCGTGCTGTCAGGAGGAAGTGGAGTGTCCCGGCTGCACCGCACCAGCCTTGTTTACATGTGCACAGCGACCTGAATGACATCATGGGGTGCTGCAAGGTGCTGCTTTGCCTGCGGTTCCGCGCTGGGGCTGCCGCTGAGGCGGGCGCCTGGCTTGCAGCCCCTACCTGCTTTTGTGGGACTCGCTTGCTCAGCTCCCAGCCCTGCCGAGCTGAGTCCCGGCCAGGTGTACGCACGGTTGCCCCAAAATCGGGTTCATGTGCCTTCGTCCTCGGTGTTTTCTCTCCGGCTGCTCCGCCGGGATGGCTTGGCACCCTTTGGGCTGCTGCAGGACAAGGTTCTGAGTGGAGCTGGGTGCTGCTCTGTGCAGGGCACCCCTTCTTCCTCTCCCACTCTTCCTCCTCTCCACTCTTCTTCCTCTCCCACTCTCCCTCCTCTCCAAGCACAGCTCCGAGCTGACTATGGAAACATGCCTGAGGTTTCTGCCTGCTCCGCCCTGGGAAGTTCAGCTTTGCTCTCGCCTCCTGATCGAGGGGCTGTAGAGAGTCATTGCTGTGCGTGAGCCTCGGCTGGTGGTTGCTCTGTTTCACCTAGTGCTAAATCCTCTTGCTGATGAAGTCCAACTTCCCAATGGCTTTTTATAGCGCTCGTGTGAGTCTTGCTTGACATGTCTCTTGAACTAAATAAGCAGGCAGCTCAATTTACACTTGCTGGAGTTTGCTGCTGGCAATGTCAAACGGTGGCACTTCTTAAATTGTTTCAAGCAATGGGGTGAAATCCAGCCTCACCCTTACCCCAGGGGGTAAATGCATTAGTGAAGCCAGGATTTTACCCACTTAGAGGATCTAATTGTTTGGATTTTCAGAAAGCCACCGGGAATCTGACCTGTTTTGCTTCTTCAGGGTCCGCCTGTGGCTTGCAGCACACCACTGTCCCTGTAGCTCAGCAGTTAACCCCTCTGCTCTGTCGTGGTTTAAGAGTGTGAAGTAGAACATCACTGCAGCTACTCCCTGACGTGGGGACAATATAGATGTTGATGTCTGCTCAGAAACCTCGAAACCCAAAACTAATGGCTCTGGTTCAAATAAGAATGCTCCACAATGAACACCCCCTAAAGCACAGTGCTGTGCTTTACATATGGTCCTGTTTCCATGAATTGTCAAAGGAAGTTGGTAGAAGTTGGGAGACTGTCAGAGGTTTATTTTCAAATTATTTATATGGGCTTCATGAAAAGCCATAGTGAGCTTTTGGCCAATGTTGCAGTGTTTATCAGTACATCCTGTTTAGCTGATTTTTTAAGTTGGTCATCAGCAATGGAAACATATTTGCTGGAATTTATCCAATCACAAAGTCGTCTTTAACATTAAATCACTGCACAATACTCTGCAGCCCGACAAGCTAAGCAGAGCCTCATTTGGGAACAGCAATTCAGAAACAGTTCACTGATTGACCCGACTAGCGTTTGTGGAAAACAAACATTATCAACTCTTCTGCAGATGCTCTCTTGTCTGCGTGAACTTCCATCTATAACGCTTTTCATCCCACACTGTTCTCACTGATAGACCCGACTGATTTGAGCAATCTTTGTACAATCTTTGTACAAAGGAGAGATGAAGTTAATCATAGCTGCACTTGTACATGTCGGTACAAGTGATGGGTGGTGGTCACCGACAAGTGGTTAGTGAAACATTGCAGTTACAAAAGTAAACTACCACAATAAAAAAGGGTGCTCGTGAAAATCCACTGTGTACTTAAGAACAGGTCTACTTACAGAAGAGACGCAGCTACTGTTGCTGCTCTATACTCAGGCACATAAATCATTCTGGCAGCCCGGTTTAGGGCAGACTGTTATACAAGAAGTGTAGGACCAACGCAGAGATTTAAAGGCACAAGCCATATAAAACCTGCAGAATAGTTCTGTTGAAGTTCTTCGTGCTTAAATTTACTCAGTTGCAAAGTGGGGATAACATTTTCCTCTGAAACTGAAGGACGTTTGCTGTCTGGACTTTTGTTAAGACTCAGCTAGAAGATTACATACATTCAAAAAACTTCTAAGCGACCTGACCAGTACCATGCAAGCTTGGTACTGGAAGAGGACTATGGTATAGCCAGCCTGGAGGATTTGAACCTTGCTTGCTGGTATTGCGTATCAGTTATCCTGCAGGCAAGGAGTGAGGAAGTGGCTTTTTCTGCTGATAAAACCAAACTTACACAAGGGATTTTGCAGACAGTTATACTGGTTACAGATGTACTTTCCCTATAGATCTATTTGCCCTAATTATGTAGGTAAAACTTCGATTTGCATAGCGTACCCAAGACTGTTCCCGCTCTTGGTTATTGCTTACCAGAATAATGAGCTTGCCAGCAATATTTGCTGCCATAATTACCTACATTAGAGGAGAGCTTGACTCCTGCAAAACAGCATGGGCAATATTTCCTGGAGTTCAGAGAAGGGGCTTGACCTCAGCTGTATTTGTGCCGCCCGGGGTTGGTTACTCGTGGACCTTCCCCGGGGTGGTCTGCAGCATGACTTTTGCGTCCTCCACTTTAGAAATGAGAAGCCCGTGTGGAGCAGCCTCCCTGGTAAGAGCATGCCCTGGGCTGCTGCAGTCCGCGGAGCCTACCTGCTGGTTTGGGAAGCGTGGGGGTTTAACCGCAGCAGCAGTCTGGAGGTTAGCTGCTGCAGCACGTCGGTGCCAGCGCCGCCGCCGCCGTTACGTAATGAGTAATTGAGCCATGCGCGCTCTCATGGCTTGAATGCAAAAAAATAGCTCCACATTTGCCTGTTTGTCTGTTAGGAAGCTTGTTTCAACGTGCAAGGGTGAGCATATGTAGACACGCGTTACTGTGCCTTTCTCATGCTTCTGTTTCATTTCCGAGTTCTTTTCCAAAATCCGAAATTAGGTTGCTACTATGTGTCTTACCAAGCAATAACAGCATCGATGCATTCTAGTTCACAGAATATTTGAAGCAGGGTTTTTTAGGTACGCATGTTTTCCACATGTACAAGGGAAGGAGTCACATGAGGGAAAAAAATCAATCTCCAGTGAAACAAATTACAGCCCTTTAGTGGGAACCAGGGGGAAAACAATTGCATGTCTAAATTATTATTAGTATCACTAATATTATATAATCATTAACATTTGCCTGAAATAAAGACTTACAGTTCGATTTCATGTGGCAGCAAATTTATTTTGCTGTCAACTCAAGCCTTCATAGTAGGGAAAAGCAGATATTCAGTGAAAGACACTAGCAAGAAGTTATATGAGTTTTGTCAAAAGTTGTACTATGACAAACAAAGTAAATAATTGTATCCTGATTGTCTGTCTTCTTACGGAGAATTAGATGGGTTTATTTAAAGGAGTACAATCACTTATAATAGGAAGTGAAAAGCATATATGTAGATTAAAGTACATCAACATGTTTATTCTAAAATCCTCTTGCACGCTATCAGATAACAAAAAGAGGAACACAGAATGGCAAACATTTCAAAATTCTGTACTTTTTGCTATGTATTTTGACCCGCAGATGGTAATCATTTTTTCCCTTGCAAAAAAAGAAAAAGCAGGCATATTGAAACGGTAAAAACTGGGTGTACTGTGAGAAATAATTTCTAATTACCTGCCTGCATTTTTATGGCGACTGAAATACCATTGCTCATTAGTGACTCTCTTGCTGTTACAGAGCTAAAATGACATCGCATAGTAAAATCATGTTGTTAATAATTTCCTCTGGTCCTAGTACAGACATGTTACTTTTGTCCAAAAGAGAGGCAGATTCTGTTTGATATAGATAGGTTTTTAATTTGAAACAGGAGCATTTTCTAATCGAGAAGCCCGCCGGTTCTGTGTTAGTTCATCACTGACTACATCCCCCAACACCCGCTCCCTTCCGTGGGCTCTTGAAACTGTGGATCGATAATGAACTGAAAACATTCATATCCAAGTGTTTCTACAGTAACGAAAATATTCCTCTCTGACAGCAGAAAGAGAAAGGAAATCTCAGAATGTTTTGGAGTCTGGGGCACCCAAAACCTTGGAAACTCACCCCAGATTTTATTCAGACCAGCTGAGCACCTTGAATCTCTGGAACTGGATGAAATTCTGAGAAGATTTTCTCATGGGAGATTTGGGGCTTGCCAATACCAGCCGCAAGTACTTACCCATCAGAACCGTTGCTCTTTTGTTATTGTTATTTACTTCCGAAGTTCTGTTTTTCAGCAGAAACGAAAAAGGAGGAAATATGTCTTCTACTCTAACACAGCAGAGCCTCTGAGAAGTATTTTCCATGCAACTGAAACTAAAAATAGCTTCGTCGGTTGTCTTTGCTAAAACTTCTTTGCCATCTTTTACAGTTCAGAATCCCTTGACACACAGAACCCAGTAACGCAAGGCCTTTTGGAGGGGATAAAAGAAAATTTTGTGGGGGAGGGACCTGGGGGGGAATGCGTGCCTATTTTTGTTGGTGGCGATTTTAATTTCTTTGCCCGGTTTGTCCAAGAGGCTTGCAAAAGTTCTCTTTCTATATAGCAGTGAGTAACCCTGTAGCAGCTGCTGCAAGCCTGTCCATGTGATTCCTTTTTCTTACCTGCACAGCGTATGGAACACATCCCTTACGTGCCTTTAGGAGCTTTATGCTGACTGCCATTGCTCACTGCCCGGCAGTGTTCCTGGAGGAGGGAGACTGGCACGACCTGGTGAGATCCAACTAAATGTAAAGGTTATACAATTAGCAGGCTTTAGAGCTCTCTGCATGAGGATCTTCTAGGATCAGATCATCACACTCAGGGAACCAAAATCAGCTTAGAAGCTATCTGCTGGAGTTATGTTAACTCTTACATGCTGGTGACTAACCCCTTTTGTACTGGCAAGCCAATTATAAGAGTAGTGGTAATGAAAGTCTGCGATAGCGGTGTGAACTTGCACATCCTCAGGTTGTTGCCATTGGGAACCTACCTGAAATATAATAGCTGGCTTTCAGGAAATGAGATTTTCAAGCTGTATTGGAACCATTGGGGCATTGCCATGCCCGCAGCTCACCCTCCCGCCTAAGTCAGCAGATACGATAATTGTGAAGTGTGGTAGTGCCTGGGTCAGCAGGGGAAAGCTCATGAAACTGGTGTGGGAAGATCCACGGTTCTGAGTTCAGGCATTTGCGTGTTTGCAGTACTTCCTCTCAGCAGACCAAAGGAGTTCCCATCCGTTACGCGACATTGCTTACCAGCATAGGAGCGCACACCATGATTTAACACAAGTGGAGAGGCAGAGAATTGGGCACCAGGAAGGCTGGAAGGAAAATGAGGCTGCTTCAAAAGCCATTGGTGTGCCAACGTCCCAAATATTGTCTGTGACATTGCAGGCTGCTGCACCCTGCACATGATTGCTGTGAAGTGAAGGGCAACCATTTTCATGCGAACTGGAACACAAAAAGCAATGAACTCCACAGGGGATCCCTGATGCTGGAAAACACCCTCCTAACAAATATGAGCAACCTACGCTCATGTTCCACATCACATTTGCTGCATAAGGCTGTGCTTCCCCGTTCACTTCATCTGGGTAGATAGCAGCAAAGGTTTCAGCAACA